AGAGAGAGGGGGGGGAGGGGGAGAGAGAGAGAGAGAGAGAGAGGATACTCACCTTCATAATCTCTTATTGAATCTTCTGTCCGGACCCCAGCCATATTATACTGGCTGCTCACAGACTGAGAAAGCATTCCTTCTAATCTCTCCAATGTGGCCTGGCCTTCTGCTGTTAAATGGGATAATCCTTCTTCATAGGTATAAAATGTAGGGATATCCCCCTGCCCTTGTTCTAAACAAATAGAAAATATTTAGGCTATTTATAAAAACGAGATGGGCTGGCCAGTTAGCTCAGTTGGTTGCAGCATGTTGCTGATAACACCAAGGTTCAGGGTTCGATCCTTGTACCAGCCAGCCACAAAAAATAAAAACTAAAAAAAATAGAAAAGCAAGATGGATAATCAACAATGCATTTGTTGAAGAGAAGGTACAGTACAAACAGGCTTCCAGGAAAATACTTTTCAATGTTCATTTACACACATATATGAGGGTACTTCAAAAAGTTCATGGAAGAATAAAATGAAAAGATAACACGAATCCTTCCACGAACTTTTTGAAGTACCCTACCCTACAGGCCACTATTGGAGATAGAGATACAAAGAAAACGTCCTTACCCTCTAGGATGAGAAGGGATTCCAAGAGATAATGAGCCAGTAAATAGCAATTCCCAAAGAACCACATGTCCAGAGACTAGAAGGAAAGAAGGTTGTTCCTAACTAAGGCCAGGAAGTCCTATATTATCCCAAGATGGGAATTTTACAGGTAAGTGCAAATTAATTTGGTATTAGTGTGTACTGAAGATTTTTTTCTGATTAAAATACATGCTCCTGGGAGGGGGGGAAAGGGAGAGATTGGACAAGGGGCATAAAGAATAAGTACAATTTGTAACAATATGCATACTAGTAATATTGATTTGATCAACATATGTCAACATTGAATCCCCAAAATATGTATAATCAATTATGATTCAATAAATAAATAAATAAATAAATAAATAAAATACATGCTCCTTTTAAAAACTCACAAATTCTGGAAAATACATCACGTATAAATGAGCCTATATTTAGGTATGTGAAAAATCCCAGAAATGAGTTTATCTCAGGCCAGGAAATGAGTACATATGGGGGCTTCGGATACAAAGACTAGTGTGCATAGACCAGTAGGGAAAAGAAAAGAGAACCGCAGACACCTGAGGTTACAAAGATTCTAGTAGGCTAGTGACTGCATTCTGGTCTTGGGAGGCAACAGGAAATATTCTTGGATAAATGATGTACAGATCTGGGAAAAAGACATGACCTTGAGAGTGAGCTGTTTGAAGAAATATGTTAAATAAAGATATAAATGATCCGGGTTCGCAAGAGGTGAAGAGAGACCAGGGGCGGCTGCCTCAGCTTAAAAGACTTTTCCTAACTACCCACTTTTCTATCTACCATTTTCTTTCCTTCCATCTGTCTCTATTTATCTATTTTCTCCCCCAATAATCTCTATTTTTTTACCCTCAAGCTTGGAAAGACCATAAATTTCCCCAATATGTCTGCTGTAAAGGGCTCAGACATAAAGTGTCACTCACTTTTAATAATAATCACACCCTATTGGGTGACGGAGATATAAAGAACTATAATCCCCTATCCCAGGTAAAAATAAAAGCTTAAAATTGAAATACTAAAACAAACAAACAAACAAACAAAAACACTACAAAAATCCCTTTCACTAACCATGTGCTTCCACATCATATTCTTCTCCATCGTAATCATCTGAATCTTCATCCTCAGGATCTGGATGCAAGGCCTGGCATTCACACATTGCAGTGAACATTGCCTCCACTGAACAAAAAAATTCAATTTTAACTAAGAGTTTTTTTCAATGTTCAATAAAATTTGTAATGAAAGTAACCATCAGTGAAAATAAATGCAATGGATAGATAAGAGGCACACTAGGGTCACAATATTTACAAAAACCTGCCAAATTTGAATTAAGATCAATCCTGAAAGTGCTTGAGGCAATGGACAAATCACAAAATAATAAGAGTTCATTTTGAGACACCGAGAACTCTTCATGGCTGACTGGATTTTCTGAGAAAAAAAGGGTCGAAAGTCCTGGTCAGACTGCTGGTCTCAGGGTGAAGCCATTCTCAGCTGTCCTGCCATCTTCCGTCTTGGAATTGCTGTGACTCCTCTGCCATCCATCAACTGAGATTCACAGGCAACAGCATCAATTAGTAAAACTAACCAGAATTCTCCATTCACAAAATAAACCAGCTAACATGGTATCTACAATACTTTCACTACATTCACAACCTTTGATGTTAACGGGTATCCTATCCTCGATGATATAATATATGCTAAAATGAAGAAAAAGCAATAGAATGGAGGTAACAAAGGTAAGGGTGAGAAGTGTGTGTGAGTGTGTGTTAATGGAGGAAAAGCTTGGTACACATAAAGGGAAAAGAGTCAATGCTATAGAACACTCACAGGCTGATTTATCAGTAGGCACAAATCTAAATTCAGTAATAGGTTCATCATCATCATCACTGTCTTCCTCTTCTTCATCAGCAACAGATTCTTTTGATTCTTCTAGAGAAGGGACAAAAATAACTTTTTAATGATGTTATTTGACTGAAAAAAAAAAAAGCCTTAGAGAATTTCCTAAAGGATGCTTATTGATATATGAGTTCTGCAATTCAATTTTTACCTCCAATTATAGTTATTTTTGAGCTATAAAAGGCTCTGGATAGAGGCTTCACAGGGCCCTTAGGATTCCAGAGCCCCTGAGGAGCCTTTGTAGGGTACCCAAATAGTCAGGGCTCTAACAAGAATAGTTCCATTGTCATCTGCTTCTACCTTTCACCTTGAAACAAAAGCTTCAGCAACAGTCTGTAAACAACTGATGTGATTCATCACCAGTGATTTACAGACAACAAAACTAAAGCCCATAATAGTTAACTGACTCAACAGATACACACAAGGAATTTGTACACTAGTATTACTGAAGTATAATATGTACTAGTAAAAATATAAAAAATAACTTAGTTCACAAAAAAGAAGATAGATTGAATCTGGTCATACTATGTGTTATAAATAGCAGTTAAAATGAATAACTGTGATCTATATGTATCAACACGGGTAGATTTAAAAAATACAACTGGGCTGGCCAGTTAGCTCAGCTGGTTAGAACATGGTGCTGATAACACCAAGGTCCAGAGTTTGTACTGGTCAGATGGAGAAAAAAAAAAAATGTGTGTGTGTGTGTGTGTGTGTGGACATGCACAAGAGGGCGCCTCCAGTTTGGGAACCCAATATACTCTAATTTTCTGGATGAAATTCAGGCTCAAAGAAATGAAATGACTTGCCTAGCAAGTTAACAAGAGCCTCCTTATTCAGTGAGCTTTTCCCCTTTAGCTATTATTCAAATCCCACCTCTCTAGGCTTTTTCTTGACATGCACCTTTTGCCCAGTGCCAATGCCTGACACTACGTGGGGCATTTCACAACATTCGGAATTGACTAACAAGAGTACCTCTAGGGTTTTGCATTTCTATGAATGAATGCTTTAAACTAAACACAACACATAATACTCTTAGTTATAAAATCACAGCTGCATTTGCTTAGATGGAAAGTGAACTTTGTGCCTAATACCTCATTAGGAATTCTTAATACACCCAAAGTCAACAGCCTTTTACTTTTCCTCATTCTTGTTTTCAAACTTCACTAGATTTTTATGTCTTTGAACCCTTACCAGTAGCAAGAATTTGAAATCTTATAACAAAAAAAATTTCAGATAGCTAAATCAGTCATCACCACTTTATGAAGAAGGGCTTGCGAAAAGTCCTAAAAATTACTAAATAATTAATGTCACAATTGAATATAAATGATCATATATCTGAAACCATATTAAAGTCCCAATTTTTTGAAATTTAATGTTCAGATAGAAAATTATTTTCTCAACATATAAATGAAGGAAAACATCACAAACTGAATTTAAAGTCAATTGATAAGGAACAAATTTAGCACACAAAGATTAACAACCTTAATGCATAAAAAACTCTTAAAAGTGAATTAGAAAAATCTTAACAGAAATTTGGTGAAGGACATGATCAGACAAGTCACACACCCCAAAGAAACGAACGCAGCTAATAAAAACATTCTAAGATGTTCTTGCGGGTGGGGGTGACCGACCACAGCCCCTGCCTCAGGACCCTCGGTGTGCTCTGCTGCTTGCCTGGTTGTGGGTGGGGTCCAAAATCCCAATTTGAAGGAGTTATTACTTAACAGGCAAACTCATGGGAATGCCTCTTATACAATATTTTGAAGAAAAGCAACCTATTATTTTAAAAGCAAAGAATTTCACTAGATTTTTCTGAATCTCCAATTCTTTGTTGTATGGGTCAGTCCAGCGCATTGTAGGATGTTTACTGGTATCCTTAGCTTCTAACTAGCAGATGGCAGTAGCACCCCTCTTCCCTTCAATCAAAATGTCACTGCTAAATATGGAGGGATGGGGAGGTGAGTAGAGGCCACAAAATATCTCCCCTAAACCTCCCCTACCCCCACTGAGAAACAATATTATAACAAAAAGTATACCGATCCAAACCTTTAAGGGTGACTTTATGAAGCGAAAGAGACAATATACAGTTAAATTCAAAAGGAAAAAGTAGAAATAAATATCCACAGTAACTGAAGAATTCTCAGTGCAAATATACAGAAAATAAAAGGCAGATACACACAAAATGTGTGTCCATCATAACAACTTTAAGTGTCCAAATTGTTTTACGGTGCTGAAATTTTGCTTAGTAAACTATTATCCAAAGTGGGCCAACAGCTTGAATATTACATTGAGTATTATCAAAGACTGCTTTTTAAAATATAATTTGCTACCAAAGGAAGCACTAGACTAAATGACACCATACATACCTCCAAATTTGGCATTCACCATAACATACAAATGCTCTTGCGGATAGGCATTTAGGTCCCTGGACACTGCATGTATACTAATGGTGGGGTATTCCAGTGAGAATCCTAATCCAGAGCCATCTAACCAAGACAGGCGGCTGAAAAACAAGTTTTAATTAGATTATTTTTAGAAAATAAATCCTAATTTAATATTACAAAAGTTTACAAAGGTTCAGCATGCAGTTTTACGCATATGAGTAAATTCAAGCTTACTGTTTAGAAATATTTCTAAAACAAGAAAATTCAGCAGCAAGAACTGAATTTTCGTTAAGACCAATTCTGTTATGGTCTCTTTTCTTCTAACTATAAATTCAAACAGATTTGAAATTGAATTCTTCTAAGTCACATGTGTGTTTCTATGCTTTCTATGCTTATTCTTATTTGTTTGAAATATATTCAGGTGCCCTCTTTGCTTCTGAAAATCCTCCTCTGCTAGTTAAGTCCCAGCTCCTCCATGAGGCCTCCCTTCAACTACTCCAGTCCATAAGGATCTCTTTTTCTAAATCACACTTACGCTCAGTAACATACCATTTAGTGCACTCTATGATAACGAATCTTCTATAAGGGTACTTCAAAAAGTTCATGAAAAGATTCATATTACCTTTTAATTCTACTTTTCCACGAACTTTGTAAAGTCCCCACGTGTATACCCTGACAGAATGTGAACTACCTGACAGCAGAACCTGTCCCATTCCTTTATTTAATTCTTCAAAACCATTAGCATAGTGCTCAGCAGGTAAGTATGCAATAAATACTTGGTAATCACTAACTTCTCCACTAATTATACAATAAATGACATACACAAGAAACGGCTGTAGTAACACCACAAGTCAGAAAATGATTATACTTTGAAAGACAAACTCTATTTATTCTGCAGCTTTAAAGACAAAGCCAAGAGAGGCTACGTCTAGTTTTCCCTCAAATGTGGTTACATGCAAGTATTTTATTGGTATAACAAAGGAAACATATCACCAAAATCAGTATGCCGAGTTTTGAGTAGGAGCCGGCCATGTTTTTTCGTTTGTTTTGTGGCTGGCCAGTATGGGAATCTGAACTGGGTGGCTATGGAATCATTTCTGGTATGATGAAATAGCCAGTAGGAACTGGCTAATTTCTTGGTAATACAGTCATGTGCTACATGATGACATTCTGGTCAATGACAGACTACATATACGACAGTGGTTCCATAAGATTGTAATGGCTATACCATACAGTTTAGGTATGTAGTAGGCTATACCATCTAGGTTTGTATAAGTACATTCTATGATGTTCACACAAATCACCTAATGATATATTCCTCAGAATGTATCCCTGTCATTAAGCAACACATGATCGTACTTCACCTGTCTGGAACTGCACAACTTAGCAGAACAGAAGTAAGCAAAAAGATCCTGACAAAGCCACAAAACATATCAATGCAATAAATGTTAATGCAACATAGTGGTTGCCTAGGGCTAGAAGGAAATAGGAAATGGCTGCTAATGGATACCTGTTTCTTTTGGGGGCAATGAGAATATTCAAAAATTGATTGTGGTGATAGTTACACAGCTCTGTAAATAGACTAAAAGCCATTGAATTGTACACTTTTAAATGGATAGATTGCAAGCTATGTGAATTACCTAAATAAAGCTATTATTTAAAAAAGAGGTTAATGCAATAATACCGCTGTATCATTCTATTTTCTATACAATTTTAACAAGCCTGGCTGTTTAATTTCTAACCAAGCAAAAACAAAAGTAAAATAGGAGAACCTAGGACTTCCTTGGGCAGGAACAATGACAGCCTGGCAGTCTGAGAACATTCACGTTCAGTATAAAGGGAGATGGACTTTACACCTCAGTCCCTCTAAAATAAATCAATGTCTGAAAGCATAATACAAGTGAGTAACACACACAACCCTCAGTTATCAAAAGCACTATCAATAGCAAAGGCAGAATATTAGGCTGTGGTGATAACTGCACAACTCTGTAAATATACTAAAACTTACTTAATTGTACATTTAAAAAAAGCAAAAGCAAGAAAATATTCACTGGGTCATCTGGAAGGATTTCCATCCAACATGCTTATTAAAACAAGAAAATCAAGGGTTTGTATCCCCATACCAGACAGCCACCAAAAAAAAAAAAAGAAAAGAAAAAGAAAAAAAACCTGGAAGGCTTAGAAGTGACAAATCTTAAAGAGCTTAATGCTATAAAAGCTCTAGAAGTTACTTTTCAGAATGACTCATCCCCACTGGTTCCAAAGAAACAAATCTTATGTAGCTAGCCTGCATGCTATACGCACCTTTCCAGTCCACTGCTTTCCTGTTAACGTGGAGATGAAATAGTGCTCAAGTATCGCCAGTCCCCTACTAAAACCATACTTTAAAACAAATAAACTGCCTTTTTCTCACCTCAAAAATCTCCTGGTATTATCACAATTCAGAAATAAACATCCCAAATTTGGGTGCCCAAAATAATTTCAAATATCCAGAGCTACAAAACTTTAATGACTCAATTGAGAGATGGAAAAATTGAAATCTAAACATAGAATCAGTGCCTATCAAATTATGGCCTTTACTTTAAGCACATAATAATTACTCTGTAGTTCCTTACTGCTGACAGAACACACATGCTGCCTCAGCACAATATTTCCTATGGAGCTCTCATAATTGTATACTGTACATGGAAATGGATTCTGCACTCTACAGGACAGAAGCAAGTTCTATACTTGAAAGTAACACTTACTTGATAATGAAGTTTTTATTTTTATTTCCCTTTCTATACATTCTACAAGAAAAGCCCTTAAAGGGCCGGCCCGGTGGCGCACTGCGCTGGTGCGCTGCTTAGGAAGCGCGGCGGCGCTCCCGCCAAGGGTTCGGATCCCACATACAGACCGGTTCCCGCTCACTGGCAGAGCGAGGCGCGGGGGCAACACCGAGGGTTGCGATCCCGTTGCCGTCCCAGTCCAGTACGGGGGCGACACTGAGAGTTGCGATCCGTTGCCGGACATGGAAAAAGACAAAAAAAAAAAAAAAGAAAAGCCCTTAAAAACCAAAATATCTAATTAACCATGAGTCACAAAAGGGAAAGACAAGAATTAGAAATCCAGTAAGGCCGGCCCGTGGCTCACTTGGTAGAGTGCAGTGCTGATAACACCAAGGCCATGGGTTCGGATCTTGTATAGGGATGGCCGGTTTGCTCGCTGGCTGAGCGTGGTGCTGACAACACCAAGCCAAGGGTTGAGATCCCCTTACCGGTCATCTTAAAAAAAAAAAAAAAAAAAAAAAGAAAAGAAATCCAGTAAACATGTAGAAAAAATGTTTTGCTAAACTCTCACTCTAATGCTTTAACACAAGTATGATCAATGTCTTTTATTCCAGGTATGGGGTGAAAAACAGGACAGGAAGGTAAAAGAGGTCTTGAATTTGGGTTGGCTTATGTGGTTTAAAATTAATTTTGGAATGAGATACAAAAAAGCATTATTTCTAGGTTTATTTATTTATTTATTTATTTTAAAGATGACCGGTAAGGGGATCTTAACCCTCGACTTGGTGTTGTCAGCACCACGCTCAGCCAGTGAGCAAACTGGCCATCCCTATATGGGATCCAAACCCGTGGCTTTGGTGTTATCAGCACCGCACTCTACCGAGTGAGCCACAGGCCGGACCTATTTCTAGGTTTAAATTACCTACTTTAATTACTTATTTTATTTTCCCTATTTTAAACTATTTTAAATTATTCATGTCTCTGTACCTTCCTTATTTGAATAAAAAGCCAACTTCCTATGAAAACTAAGCTCTGAAAATAGACCTGAGAGTTCTAAATCTCTTGATACACATCTGAGAAGTTAGTTACCTAAAACCAAATCTGACACTTTCCCTCTTTGCCTAAAACCCTAATAGTCTCCCCAAAGCCTAAGGGCTATAAAGCCAAGCTCAAGACAGGCTCCTTCTCCAGTTTTATTTTCTCTCTTCACTCTTTCTCCCTCATTCCCTCAGGTGAAGAACTGCTAGACTGTCTCTCTATATATACGTAAAATACACACACACATATATCCTGGCACACAAAATATTGTTTCTCACTGTTGTCTCTGAGCATCTTGTTTTTCTAGTCAGACAACTTCCTCCTAAGTCCACCCCATTCACCTGGCTGTTAGTCACTCATCACATCCTCCAGGAAGCCTTCCTGGTTTGTTGAGACCTTAATTCTATCATGACTTGGAAATGCTAGGTGAGAAAAAAGGGGGGGAAGAGACCAAGGAGGTGAGGCTAACAATGAGTAAAGAGGGATGAATAAAACTGTCCAAGTACTGGTAATAGTCTTCTTAACCTGGAGAGTGAATACACAGGTATTGTTTTAATTATAATTCTTTTAACCATACATATATAACATAATCTTTTTTGTGTGTATATCTTACAAAAAAAAAAGTTTCTTAAAAAGAAATTAAGAGGGCCGGCCCGGTGGCGCACTGCTACAGTGCGCCGGTTGGGAGTGCGGTGGCGCTCCCGCCGAGGGTTCGGATCCCACATACAGACCGGTTCCTGCTCACTGGCTGAGCGGGGTGCGGGTGCAGCACTGAGGGTTGCGGTCCCGTTGCCGGTCCAGGTCCGGTACGGGCACGACACTGAGGGTTGCGATCCGTTGCCGGACATGAAAAAAGACAAAAAGGAAAAAAAAAAAAAAGAAATGTAAGAGATTTGTTAGCGAAAAACTAAAATAGATAAGAATTTTTAAAAATAAAACATGAGGCCGGCCTGTGGCTCACTCGGTAGAGTGTGGTGCTGATAACACCAAGGCCACAGGTTTGGATCCTATACAGGAATGGCCAGTTTGCTCACTGGCTGAGCGTGGTGCTGACATCACCAAGCCAAGGGTTGAGATCCCCTTACCGGTCACCTTTTAAAAAAATAAATAAATAAAAAAAATAAAAATAAAACACGTAAGTACTTAAAAGGAGTTATACTTCCTGAGTATGATAATTGTATTGTGATAATACAGGATAATGTCCTAGTTCTTTGGAGATATATGCTAAAGTATTTACAGGTGAAGTGAAAACATGTCTGCAACTCTCAAATGGCTCAGAAAAAAAAAAGATAAATATGGCAAAATGTTAATTAGTGAATCTTGTGAAGAGTATGTGGGTATTAATTCATGACACTTGCAACTTTTCTTTAAAATGCAAAAACAAACACAGGACTGTCCCCCCAAAAGGGGTTATATTATAGAAAAAAGCGCCAATATTCAGAGATGCCATGAAGGAAAAAGAATTGTGTAGAAACTAAGAATATCCGAATGCTCCACCTTCCACCACTTAAAAAAACTACTCTCCCCAAGATCAAAGATTTCCTTGTCAACCTAATAGATGATTTTCAGATTTTGTTATTTGACTGCTCCTTCCTCTGTTGTCAAGTCTCTTCTTCCATGACCCACCTCCTAACATAGAGGTATTTCCAAGATTGTACCTTTATTTTTTTTTTTCTTCTTCTTTTTTTTTTTTTTTGGTGACTGGCAAGGGGATCACAATCCTTGGTGCGGTGTTGCTCGCACCGCGCTCAGCCAGTGAGCGCACCGGCCATTCCTATATAGGATCCGAACCTGCGACGGGAGCATCGCTGCGCTCCCAGCGCCGCACTCTCCCGAGTGCGCCACGGGCCGGCCCTCCAAGATTGTACCTTTAGCCCTCTTCTTTCCTGGGGTATCTAATCCATTCCATGAATATATGCTAATACTTACTCTAATGACTTCCAAATCTCTACCACACTTATATGTCCAACTACTCCACACATGTCCTGACCAAGCTCACTGTCTGCCCGTCACACCAAACTTGCTTTTCCTCCCATCCATATTTCCAATCTCAGTGACTAGCCAAAAAGCCTAAGATTCGTTCAATGTCTAAATTTCACTAAAAGGCAGGGGTTCTTTACAGTTTTTTTGTGCCCTGGACCCTGTAGTAGGCAGAATTTTGGCATCTATGACCTTCATCTCCTGGTGTCATGCCTGTGAATACGTTGTTACATGGGAAAAGGGGCTTTGTACATGTAATTATAGTTATTAATCAGTTGACAGTAAAATAGGGAGATTATCCTAGATTAGCTAGGTGGGGCCAATGTAATCACATGAGCTCTTAAAAGCAGAGAATTTTCTCTGGTTGTAGACAAAAGTGATATAGCAGAAAAGGAAGGCAGAGAGAAAAGACGGACAAGAAGGACGCAATGTTCACTGTTGGCTTGAAGATGAAGGGACCGCATGTCAAGGAAACAGGGATCTCAGTTCTACAACCGTAATATTTAAGACTGTGTAAGTAAGAGTGCTCCAAGTGGCCAAATAAAAGGGCAATTCCTTCCAGAACCCCCAAACGGAAGTCAGGTACCTGTGGATAGGACCCCAGCCGGCATGGGGTTGAGAATGTTCCTCTCTCCACCCTCATCTACAAAAGAAAACCTACACTCCTAAAACAAACTTTCGAAATCCTCCACAATCTGCTCTAAACCTATATATCCTGAGCAGGGCAACACCTCCTGCACCTGTTCATCCGGAAAGACAGGAACATCGAAGACACTCAGGGTCTGGAAACTGACACCTTAAAACTAGACCGTCAACAACGCACGCGCTAGACCTCCAGGAAGGAGCACAGTCCCTGAGGGAAAATTCCAGCTGAAGATGAGAGAAAGGAAGTCTCCGGGGGGGGGGGGGGGGGGGGGGGGGGGGGGGGGGGGGGG